TTTGGTCCCACATTCTTGGGGCTCTGCCTGCTCCCCAGTCTTAGTCATTTGCTTTTCTTAGTGAGTCCTCTGACTTATCAGCTCGCATCACTTGCAGGTACTTCCAGCAGTCTAAAGTCCATGCCAAGCCCAGAGTCTCCCTGCCTGTGGATCAGATGTAGCTCTCAGCTACTTCCCTAGCACCAGGTCTGCCTGTGTGCGACCACACTCTGCTCCATGATGATAGTGGGCTAACCTCTGGACTAGAAGCAAGTCCCCAGCTGAATGCTCTCTTTTCTAAGAGTTGCCTTGGTTGTGGTGTCTTTTGTCAGCAATAAAACAGTGACTGAGACAGAGGTACATGTAAACCTTTGTGTATCTGCAGGGGAGACACTTTTGGATACCAGTTCAGTCGGCATCATCTGTCATTGAACTGCTGCTGGAGCTTCCTAGCTCTTAACCCTTCAGATGGTTCTCCCTCTCCTGTAGACACTCCCTGTGTTGCCCTCACTGTCCCTGCCTCTCCCCACCCTCTCATCTTCTCCCTCCGTTCTTTTCTTACATCTCTAGCCACATACGTTTTGTTTTCTTCCTTTCTTTGCTAAACTCACTTCTATTTCACTTCTGTACTCCTTTGTCCTCTGAGAGCTTCTTAAAACTCTGAAGGAGATCATGCCACCACTCCGTCATTCACACTGTTTTGCGCTTTCCCACGGTGTTTAGAGTGACGTCTAATTTTCTCAGTACTGCCTGTGTGATGGGGCCACTCTCCAGCAATTATCCGAAGCCACACGTTCTCCGTCCTTCAGTCACTGTGCTTGTTTAAGTCCTTGGGATGCGTCATGCTTTCTTCCCATGAGCTGTGTTACACCACTCTCTATGCACAGGACCCTTTCTCCTTTCTTGGCTAGACTCTTAGCATTCTTCAGATTTATGCTTTTCTTACAGAAAAATTATTTCACTCAATTTAAATCTAAAGTAGCTCCCTGCTATTTGTCTCTTGAGAGATTCTGTTCTTTGTGTCAGAACATTGCATGGTTAACATCATACATTTATCTGTCTACTTTTCATTTCAATCTTCTCCACTGGTGTTTGTTATTAGCTCTGTAGGGACAATAACAGGGTCATCATGTTTATCTTTGTCATGGTGACTGGTTCAATAAAGTATGTGAGTAGATGTTTATTGAAGACATGAATGTGTGTATGTCCCAAGAAACAGGACATTTCCTTAATAGTGATCCAGAAATCAGGCTAAATGGAACACCGAGTCTATGTTTAAAATACCAATTTATGGGCTCAGAGAGAAGAACACTTTTTCTTGCAACGATAAGGACTAGAACCTTGCAGAGCTTGCTCGCACATGTCCATAATCCCAGCACAGTGGAGTGGAGAGGGACCAATCCTAAGAGCTCACTGGCCAGCACCCCTACAATGGAGAGCTTCCAGTTCAGTGACAGGCCTTGTCTCAAATTAACAAGGCAGAGTGACAGAAGTAGACATTTTACAATCTGCTGTGGCCTCTGCATGTGTGTATGGGTCTGTGCCCCCATATAGTTTGCACATACACAAACCACAAATTTATGAAGACTTATTCTAGCAAAGAGAATCCTAAGTTGCATATTCTGACTTCAAGTTTTTATGTGGCTGTGTTAAACTTTTTATTTTCATTTATAACCATACATTTGTTAGCATAAGTAGCCTTTTAAGTTACATTTAATGGTGTTTGAATCCTATTAGTCTTGCCTTATCTTTGTAATTTTGTTAAATGAGCTGTAATTATGTCTCATCATAGATTTAATAGAAGTCATTTGTTAAGTGCTCCTTTGCCAGGTGCTCTGTGTGTGTCATCCCATTTTATTTTTAGAGCAGCTATCTGAAGGTGATGGTGATACCCTGTTCTTCTGAAAAACCCTTAGGTTCCAAGAAGTTAACTGTATCACGGTCATGTAGCTGATTGATGTTGGAACAGGAATTCAATCCAGATGAATCCAATAATGTGTACTACTATAGTGCTATGTTGATGGTGAGTGTATTAGCATGTACTTTAAAATATATGAAAAGTATTTGGTATAATATGGCATTCCTATTTCTCAGCTAAGCATCTAGGAAATATTTAACTAAGAATTTTAAAGCTGAAAAATTTAAATTTCTATATTCTTCAACTATCGTTTTAGAAAAAGACATTAAATGGTGAAGCATTTTTGGCATGCATTGCAGGCGTAAAGACTAGGTGGGAGATGCCTCTCCTTTCCTTGCTGTCCCAGCTTGGCCCTTGGTCACATCCTTGCAGCTTATATGTGTTGGCAGTCATCTGGTGACTGAGTACAGAATGGATCTGTGGGTCAGAAGCAATCGTCCGTCTGGCCTGGGAGAATCTTACCTTATTTGTTTGCCATTGTGCTGCTTTCCCTAGTTGATGCCAGGTTTCTGTCAGGATTGTGTCGTGCGACTTTTAAGTCCTTTCCCATCAATTTTATAATGGGGGAGAGGAATGAAGTCTAGTGTGGTTTGGAGCCTGCAGCCCTGGGAAGGAATGTTCCATAGAATGGCTGTCTCTCCTATGGTCTGAGGTCAAGTTTGTAGAAGAGCCTTAAGAAAAATAATTGCAAGGACCTCGTTACTGCTTTTGGGGATGAGTGGGTTGGGCTCAGTCCTCATCAGGGCGCATGTGGAGGACATATCCTGTTTCTAACGTCTTCCCTGGAGCTTCAAAGCTTGTGTTTGCTTGTGAAAGGTTCCCATCAGGGCTAGGGTGCAGTTTGGACTTGGTCACACGAGAGTTCTTGTTTTGTTTTTACTCACTCTAAAGTGGGGGAGAAACCCAACAATCAAAAAGTCCTATGAAGGCTACTAAATAATAGAAGTCAGCTTCTCCAATAAGACAGGAAGAAAGAAAGAGAAAAGCCAAATGAAGTGCACCCCCAGGAATGACGTGCATCCTAGGAATGACATGTTGCTGTTCAGACTGAGGTGGAGACCCAGGGAAGGATAGAAATAAGGAAGACAGGATAAAATGAGCAAAGGAAGATTGAGGTTGTGGGGAGGACCACGGCCTGGCACTGAGCAAGCTGCTACTCCTGGGTATGAAACTGGCCTACAAGAGAAATATGCAGAGCTGGATTGTGTGTGTGTGTGTGTGTACATATGTGTACATACATATATGCAGACCAGACTACAAGAGGAATATGAAGAGCTGGATTGTGTGTGTGTGTGTGTGTACATATGTGTACATACATATATGCAGACCAGCCTACAAGAGGAATTTGAAGAGCTGGATTATATGTTATGTATGTATATATATACATGTGTATACATACATGTATACAAACAAGCCTATAAGAGAAATATGAAAAGCTGGATTATATATATATATATGTGTGTGTGTATACATATACATACATACATATATAAAAACTGGCTTATAAGGAATATGAAGAGCTGGATTATGTGTGTGTATACATGTACATACATATTTACATATATACAAACTGGTTCACAAGGGGAATATAAAGAGCTGAATTATATATGTGTATATACATATATATATACATATATATATACATTTATATATGTGTTTATACACATACACATATATAAAAACTGGCTTACAAGAGGAATATGAAGAGCTGGATTATATATATGTGTGTACACATACATACTATACATACATATATACATACATACATAAACTGGCTTACAAGAGGTATATGAAGAACTGGATTATATATGTATATGTGCATTTGTGTACACACACACACGTGCGCACACACACACACACACACACTGGCTCTCTATTTGGAACATAGCATCAAGTACTCATTATGTACCTGATTATTAACTGATTCAGTATGGACAGTTTATAAAGGTTTCCCCCTAAATAAGTAGTGTACATAATGACCTTTCCTAGCAGAGGATCTGTTATGACTTATCGGAGTACTATTTTATTACAAATCAGTTAATTTATTAATTGCTGTGCCATGGGTTGAGCCCAGGGCTTTGCCCATGCTGGATAAGCGTTCTGCAGCTGAGCAATCCCTAGCTCTGAAGAAACATTTTTAAAGGTAATGCAGGTTTTTGCCTTTTCAAGAGTGCTGTCTGTTGTACAAGAAGAATTTGAAGACATAGGACTTTTGCTAAAGTTCAAGTGACTGTTGTACACAAGTTCTTCATTTGCTTCATAAAACTAATTTTGTTGACTTTTCTGTAAAAAATGCAGCTGCTGAACATTCCTGTGACGGCTCTTTTGTGAATGTGCCACTGTTCTGGGTGTGCGCACGCCTTATAATTGCAGCTTTCTTTTGTTGGTGGTCGGCAGCTCCAACTGTTAGAGCTCTTGTCTGATTATGTGGAGCCTCATTTTAATGGGAGCAGCTTCATTGCTGCATTTTTAAGAACTGGTCTCGGAAGCTTCATACTGTGGGCCTTTGTTGGGGACAAAGGGTTATTTATGCTAAAGGGAAATGTATTCCCACTGAATTAGCTGGTGGGCAGCATAGCAATCTCGCTTGTGCTTTGGCCTTTTGCTGTGGTGGAGAGGGGGAAAACTGAGACCAGAAAGGGCATCCTGTGCTCTTTTGCCTTCTGCAGAGAAAATGTGATGTAGTGTTAGGCTCGTCAGTTAGCCCAGGTTCTACTTGTCCTTAGAGAAAGCCGTGTGTATAGTTGACACTGTGCACAGACGTGTGGGAGAGAGCTCAGGGCAGGGCATGACTCTGGAAACAGGTAACATTTTAGTACCATAGTTTTATAATTTTCTCTTAAAGTCTTTTAGTGGTAGTTTGTAATAAAATTAGAGTATGTTATGCTGCTATAAACAAGCAACAAAAGTAGCTTTTATATAATCTACTAGTATTGTCTTTGAGCCTTTCACTCACTGAAAGCACACTAATGCATTGATCTAATTTGAGTTTATTAAAGTTTACCTTTCCTTTGTAGACTTCAAGAACAGAGCTTTGGAGCCAGCGCTGCTGATCCTTTTTGTTTCTGACAGATTATCACAGGAAGGTACTGAGTATTTTTAATTCACAGTTGAAGCTGATAGTGCTATTTTGTTATCTAGTAGAAAAGCGTATGGCTAAGCATGTGATTATGAAGTCCATGTGACTCACAAAGACATGATCACTACAGAGAGATCAAAGACGCTGGAGTTTCAGTATCGGTTTGAGGAGTTGCGATGACATCACTTTTGCGTTGCTATATAGGAAAAGATTGTGGGAGACTGTTCTGTGCAGCAGGTTTGTCATGAATTCTACCTCACTGTCTTGACTCTAGTTTGACAGTTGCTTTGACACTAGTGCCAGGGACAGTGTATCAAAGGGTTGCAGGTTTCTCTCATTCAGGTGACATATGCCATTATGGAGCAGAAGTGACAGTCCCTGGTGAGTTCCTCATAGAGCTTTCTAGCTAGCTGAGAATGTCTCAGGTATGGAGTCAAAGAGGGAGTAAAGCATGTTCTGAATTCCTGGGATTTGGGATTTGAGGGAGGATGAACTCTGCCATCATCTGCATGCTAATTAATGCCTTCTTCTCTCCCCAGAATATTAGTTTCATCTCAGTATAGATGACCATGCAGCCTGCAGTTCAGGTAAGTTTTCTTTTTGTAAAAGAGAAATATAAATGATGAATTGATATCATTGAGTTTTTTAACACTACTGCTTAACAATAGGAATGCTGCATTTTGACGTTCTAGTCCTAAGATTTTAGTTCTGCATTTTACTTGGGTTAGATATCTAAAAGAATCACAAGTGGTTTGGGGCTGCTGGGGAAGATAAGTAGAATGTTTTATAGTATCCCCTCGTCACAACATGGTACATGACACAGCTGAATGAACAGTCAGTAAAAATCAAATAAGAGATACAAGTCTTAGTTTATGTACATATGCTTTACAAATGACCTGATATGTGTTAAAATTAAAATTTTTAATAAGTAGGGTTTTGTTTTGTTTTTGACTGATGGAGCCAGCTGAGGGTAGTCACAGAAACCATGATAGTCTTAAAATTTAAATGATTTCCAAAATTTGTGTTTGCTGTATTTTTTTTTTTTTGCTTTTCTTTTGTTTCCTTTCTTTGGATACAGTAGACCAATGAAATGTTAATTTAAAGGCAGAAGTCACAGTGCACCTTTCTACCTCGGAAGCTAGAGTCAGCTGGTAATAAAATACATCAAAAGTTAGAACTTAAGAGTCATTCGCATCTTAGTTCTACCCCATGTTTATCACTCTCATAGTTTGGTGGAGTCCTTGCCTCTTCAGTCCCTGCTTAGTCACCTGGAAGGTAAGGTGAGGATAACAGTTCACATTCTGCCGGGTCCTTTTGCATCAGTGAGATAGCGTGTGCGGAGAAGCTGCTAGGACTTGTATTGCCCAGTGGCCCTCCCGGGGTTTGTTTCTGTGGCAATTCTTTCTCTAACATATGCTTATGTCTCACCGAGGAGATTGGAAATGGGTTTTTACTTTTTCCCTTTATAGTTTGTCTGCATAAGTTCAGGCCAGACAAAAATCCCAGCAAAGAGTTGGGGAAGTGCTCATAGCAACCCACCCCTAGCCGGAAGCTGTCTGCAGTTTTTATCTGCTGGGAGAGGGAAAATCACTTTCTTCAGTGGAGTGACATGGATGTATAAACCACACGCCAAGGCAGACCTTCCGCTCCATAGTAGTTGGACAAAAGAAATCAGACTTCATGATTTTTTTCTGCTGTGACTTTTTGATATGGCTATTGTCTTCGGTGCTGCTTGGCTTTCTGTCCTAAGAGCATAGGGTTCATTTTTCCTCCCCCCTCCATATGTGTTCCTTCCTCTAGCGGTAGGAAAGTGCCTCCCATTCAGTAACTCTTATGTGTGGACACGCTCTTACTGGCACTGCCACCCTGTCCCTGGTAGAGACACGCAGCTCACTTGGCTCTGAAGCTCGCTCATGGGCTGTCCTGCTTTGCCTCCGTGAAGCCCTTCATATCCAGTTCAGACATCTCACATAGGGTTACCCTTAGGCATCACTCAGGTGCCTGCTGGCTGCATTCCAAGTTGCCTCCCTTGGGATAACGTCCTGCTCACCTCACTTGGGCTCTAATACAACCCCCCACGCCCCCCCCCGGACAAGAATCGTTTGTACTCTTTTTAAAAAGTGACTTCATGATTTTTTCTTTCATAATTTGCACAGTTGAGTCTTTTTTATAAACAACCTGGAAGCAAATCTGTTTATATTTCAAACATTTCCAAGTGTTAATTTGATAGTTTGTCTATGTAATTTTATTCTTACTATTTTAGGCTTTGCTGAACTGTAGGCAAAACTGAGACTGTAAGATGGATATGTAGGTACTTATATAAGTATCCATTTTAAAATGTTTTAGTTGTAGGTCATAAAAAATACAGATGACACAGATTTGCTTAGATTGTAGTTTGCCATTCTATTGCTTTAATCAAGGTATTTAGAAAACAATTTAAAGGCAGCATTGTAGAGGATGGAGTGATGGTTACGAGCACATGTGCTCCTGCAGAGGACTTGAGTTTGGTCCTAGAATCCGCATCAGGTGGCTCACAACTGCCTGTAACTCCAGCTCCAAAGATCTGACATCCTGTCCTGGCCTCCATGGGAACCTATACTAATGTGCACAAACCCACAGACACACACATACACACACACAGACACACACAGACACACACACACACACACTGAAAAATAATCAAATATTTAAAGCATCACAGTTATTACTTGAAGTTTGCAGATACCATTTATGCATTCATTCACTTATCCATTCAACAGATGATTGTCTAATCTGCTGTCTGCCAGGGCCGGCGCTAGGTGCTACAGACATGTACTTGTGAGGTACCTGTCATTAAGCCGTTTTAAAGCTATGATGTGGGGATTCTGCTTTAACAAGTGAAGAAGAAAAGTACTATTTGTGGAATTGTTTTCCTCTTGACTCTACAGTAAAATCCATTCATTCATTTAGTGTTCATTGACATTGACCACTGTATTAACTATTGAAAACAGTCCAAATAATCCAGATTTCTATGAGGTGGTGCAGTTTTGCTTATTCCGCATGGCCTATGCCTACTTATTTAAGCATGAACTGGATGGTGGTGACTTTTAGTAAAGATTGCTGTCTTTCAGTTGTTTGCTGTTTTGTCTAGGTATGGTTTGGGGAGGACCAACCTCTAAGTCCCAGGTGTCCCCTGACTCCCAGACATGGACCAGGACTGACTGATGTCTGTCAGTATGACCAATGGATAGCTGTGAGGCATGAAGCCACTCTCCTGCCTATGCAAGAAGACCTCTCTATTTGGTTATCGGGCTTACTAGGTAAGGCGTACCAAGACACTGATTTTTTAATCTTCATTTAAGACATGGTTGATTGTTCCAGATGCTGGGGCTGTGCTAGTGAATGGCAGAGTCAGTCCTTGTTTTCACAGTCTCTGTAGTTAAAAAGATACTCCCATCCTCAACCTCGAGTTGTATGAAACTTGAGATTTGATTGGAGCAGCCAGCCTTTTTGAATAATCAATAATTTATGGTTAATTTTAATATATTTCAAAAAGTTGTGTGTCTGCTATTGAATTTTTAATGATTTTTCCAAACTTATATGAGCTATAAGGTTGTAAATGGAAGATATACTTTAGTTATAGAAAAATGGATAGTCTTTCAAAACATCAGGGGGGTAGAAGCAAAGAATATATCAGAGAATTCCTGGCATTGCATTTTTTCTACATTGTATTTATTCAAGATTATGATGAGTGCTCTGAGCTTCTTTCTGGGCAGGGGGTCGCTCTTTGCTTTATGTATGTGTTATGTGTTGTACATGTATGTGTAAAATGCATGTGTGTGGGTACAAGTATCAGGAGGCTTTAGTGCTTATGCACTTACGTGTGTGTGTGCGTGTGTGTCTGTGTGTAACCAGGTGCATGCTAGCTTAGCTGGTCACAAGCTCCAGGGATCTGCCTAACCATCGCAGGCGCACCAACACACCTCACTTTTATGTAGGTTCTGGGGACCCAGGCCCGGGACCTCCTACTTTACTGAGTGAGGCTTCGCCTCTGTCCCTCAGTCACTTAACTGTAGATGCTCGTGTCGTGTTCTGAGATTTTCATGGGAAGGAACCCTGAAGATGGACTCAGGGCCTTGGAGATAAATACGCACTAAGCAGTCACTCTTTGTCTGGTGTCAGCTTGATGACTGTAATGTAATTATGCTTTTAGAGAAGTTATTTTAGAGGCAGAAGTTGATATTCCCAGACTAGTTATTCTAGTACTGAGTTTAATCTTTAAGTTGCAGCAAAGATCATCTTATTTATAAAGAACTTTTTCCCCTTGTGCAGTGAATTTATCTAACATAAATGTACATGTTTTTTTTTCCTGAATTTATGCATCACAAATTTTTTCCCTTTGTGTTTGATTTCACTTGACATTTCTTTTAAGGGTGGAAACTTAGAGTCTCATCAGGTATTTGCTTAGTTTTCCAGCTGTTATCTGATTGTATTTAAGTTGTAGCCACTGCTTCTGAATTTGCTGTTTCTAGATGGGTCTTAGCTTTAAAATGTGTTTTTAGGTATTGACATTAAGGCAGAAAGATTATTGGAAGAGCTTGATAATGGAGTGCTGTTGTGTCAATTAATCAACGTTCTTCAAAATATGGTAAAAGAATGCCACTCCGAAGAACCAGCGGTAAGGAAATATTGACAACGATGAAGTTAATTGTTCATGTCTACTTATGTATTTATCTTACATCCTGACTGCAGTTTCCCCTCCCTCCTCTTCTCCCAGCCCCTCCCCTCCACTACCTCTGCCTCCCTGCCTCCTCCCCTGTGTTTATTCAGAAAAGGGTAGGCATGCCTGCTTCTTATTACCTCTGTGTGGGTGTGTATTTCATCATGTAACTGTCTCTGAGACTTTGAAAACTGTTTTAACTTTCTGTGCATTTGAAAAACCATATTTGTAAAATAAAGTTAGTTGCATTCACCTTGAGGCTTGGAAGGTTAGCTCGCTTGGTAAAGTGCTTGCCGTGTAACATCAGGACCTGAGTTTTGCTCTCCAGAATCCATGTAAAAGGTGGCTATGGCAGCGTGCACCCATAATCCCAGTGCTGGCAGACGAAGACGGGCAGATCCCAAAGGCACGCTGGCCCACTAATCCAGCTAGCCAGTGAGTTTCGGGTTCACTGAGAGACCCTGTCTCAAGAAACAAATCCCCATGAGCATGCACACACACACACACACACACACACACACACACACACACACACGTATACATGGGTACACAAACATACACACCAGAAACAATAACAACTACTTTCTTTGTGGTTCTCACTTGTGAGTGTTCACTATATTAAGTCTATAGGTGGTATCTGGGATAGTGCCTGATATGTTATAGGTGGTCCCCAGCAGCTAGATCCCACACACAGTGACAGTATGGTTATGACAGTTCCTGTCTGTGCTGCCTAGTTTTATATCAATTGACGCAAGCTGGAGTTATCTGAAAGAGGGAAATTCAATTTAACAATGCCTCCATAAGATCCTGCTGCAAGGCATATTCTTCATTAGGGATTGATAGAGGTGCCTTCCCTGGGCTGATGGTTCCATAAGAAAGCAGTCTCAAAAAGCCATGACGAACAAGCCAGTGAGCAGCACCTGTCCATGGCCTCTGCATCAGCTCCTGCCTCCTGGTCGCTGTCATGCTGCTCTGACTTTCTTTGATGATGGATGGCGTCATCTGGGAGTATAACGCAAATAAACCCTCCTTCCCCAGCCTGCCTTTGGCCCTGGTGTTCCATCACAGCAATAGTGACCCTAACCAAGGCGCTGGCACTTTGTCTCACCCTGTTTGTTGTTGTTGTCACCACCATCTTTGTAGTCCTCGTCTGCGGCCTTAGCAATGCATTTATAAATGTTGCTGGGGCATGTAGCACTTTTAAAAGACAAGTTTAAAGTAATGATTTGAAGTAGATTAGGTTTTCTTTCTTTTTATCAAACATTAAGCGTTTTTGGGAGTTTGGGGACATACTATTAGTTAAATATAAAATGGTATTATTCTTGGAGGACAATGAGTGGGATATCTATTTATATGTAGATACATACACACATAATGTATCCATATATTTAATACTGAAAGTAAAATAAATCCTTTGATAAAATTCTCTATTTTAGAATTCATTCTAAAAAAAGTCACAGATAGAAATAATATAATCTGCTTATCAATAGAGAAGTTGTAAGATTGTTGCCTAAACATTGGAATATTACGTATTTATTAGAAATAATTATTTAAATGTTCTTTTTAAGTCTTAAATATGCCCACAGCCTATCCAGTGTACATACATTTGAAGCGCACACACACATATGCATATCAAAATATAGAATCGTATCAGTGTGATATTTTCTAGGTACATATGCATAGATTTGCAGAGAGATATTTTGTCAAAATGTCAGTGAGAAGAATTCATTTGATACTAATCATCTTTGTGTTTTGCTATGTTTATTAGTATATTTTTGGTAATGATAATATATTCTGTATTTAACCATGCATACAAGCTGTTTCAGTTCTGGAAAATAATAGCACCCAGAAGGAGACGCATAGATTTGGTAACAGCAGTTGTCTCTAGAGAGGGAAACTGACAGTGATGGAGAAAGACCTCTACTGTACCCACTGCACTAAAAGCACCACTGTTGTCAGTTGTCAAGTGAAAAGCAAGAGACCTCCCTTCCCCCTTCCCCAGCCTCAGCAGGAATGTCAGAATACTCTGGGGCTGGATAGTTAAGAATACAAAAGTACTAACTTAGGGTTTTATGAAACTTAGGTCATCAAAGAACCTGAATTAAGGATGGGCAACTACTCCCATATTTTATAGTCTCTTTTAAGAAACTCAGGCAGCCTTTATGAGTCTGTGAGAAGAAGAAAGCAAAAATGAGTATTTGTTAATCTCCAGTTTTGTATTTGAGTTGAACTGTGTGGAGAGACACACAGTAGATGTGCCGTAATTACCAGGCCATCATTTACATTTTGTGATTCTTGTACTACTTTAAAAGGAAGATTAGAGAGGCTTGAATCTATTGCTAATTTTGAGTAGATCATTTTCCTAAGCATCTTTTTTTGGATGATACTTAGAGTAGAAGAAGAAAGTCATTTTTGAAGATAATTGTTTTCCCTCCAAACTATGCAGTCTGTAGTTATACTTAATACATTTAACAGTTTCTTCATCATACTAAAATGAACACTGAATGAAAATACCATTGATTCTTTTTTTTGGTAAATTGTCCTTATGTCTTTTCTAGAATTTTCCAATGAGAAAAGTGCCTTGTAAGAAAGATGCTGCGTCGGGTTCATTCTTTGCCAGAGACAACACTGCAAACTTTCTTCACTGGTGTCGGCACATCGGGGTTGACGAAACTTACCTCTTTGAGTCTGAAGGTTTAGGTAAGTATTGTTGCTGTCAGAGTTTTTCGTGTTTATTAGGATGGTTTTGTGGCTCTCATTTCTAAATTTCTTTTCTCAATATTGACTCAAAATGCCATATCACTATTACGTACAAAATTTTTATTTTTACTTCAGTTAGATGTGAAACAGTTGGAGAATCAGATATTAATCAAATGTAGTAAGCTATTCACTTTTGTTAATAGGCTTTAGATAACTGGAATTCTCTGAGTTGACAGCCAGAAGATTGTACACTGATTAATGTTCCACTAATACTTTCCTGAAGATGTCTACCAGGTCTAAATTACTAACAATTCCTCTTTAACTAGCTCATTATAGAAATAACAGGTGAAATGTGTTTATAGTATTGGGATTAACTGTAAGTAATGGCTACCATCTTTATTATCTAAAAAGAATCATTTTTTTGGCATTTCATTAGAGAAGTCATGCTTCAAGCTGGGTGGTGCTGGCACATGCCTTTAATCTCAGGGCTCAAGAAGGCAGAAGGTCAAGGCCAGCCTGGTCTATAGCATGAGGTCCCACAGCCAGGGTTACCCAGAGAAGCCCTGCCTTAAAACACCCCCCACCCCAAAATAAGATTACGCTCCAATGAAAAATTGTTGATGTATTTTTCTCATTGTCTTACGTCAGCAGAAGCATCTATGTGGCAGTAATGGAGCAGCTGGGTGGCTGTTTTAACTCGCACATTTCAAGGCATTTGTAGGTGTGTATGTGTATACATATCATGTATACAAACACTCATACAGTGATGAGAGCACTCCAGTCTGAAGGGGACACCGTATTCCTAGACAGCAGTTTTATCCCTGACACTGTTAACAGTCCCTCATTGATGGTGCTGATTAAAAGCAAGCCGACTTTTAGCTGAATTTGTTAGTTTTAAACTTCTTGACCAGCAGTGTGAAGTGTAGGCTGCTCCCGGATACTCTGCAACCCGAGGTGTGCTCTGGCTGCCCCTGCCCACTACAGAATGGTTTACAGTGGGTTGCCCTGGAGACCCAGGTGTGTGCTGCTTGTTGCTGACAATGATGCTGATTAAATCCGGCTACTGGATCAAAGTGGGGAGGAAATGCTTAGAAGTCTTTCCTTTGTAGCTTACTACTTTTGAAAAGGTCTGGGATTGTCACTTATTTTTTAAAGTTAAAAGACATCTTCCAGCAGTGCTGAAGGGCAGTGTAGGACTAAGAAAACTTCTGTCAATACCAGTAACTCATTTGTAGGCATTGATGTGATATGTACATGTATATGTATGTGTGTAAATAATATAATATATAATATGTTTTATATATATTAATATATATGTATATGTATATGTTTATATATTTGCATTTGCTTGGAACTCAAATGTAATTAAAAAATAAATATACTATTTTAAGGTACTTAAGATATTTATAAGTACAGGTTTGAAATATTTCATGATAAATTCTTTTATTTCTGTGGATTTAAAGTCAAATAGAGGCCTTTTTTGTTGCTTTAAAAGGTAATGCTTTATAGTCAGGCATGTGGGTGCACACCTGTAATCTTAGCCTGGACCATGTGCCAAGACCTGTTCCACAGTGAACAGATTATTTGCTTCTTGTGTGCAGTAGATGCTATTACCACCTCAGAGAACAGCTGCCCTTTCTGTTGGTGGAATCAATGCATATGCTCAGAACACACTGCACTTGGGTTAGGATTCCAGAGTTCCTTAGGACTTCTTGTTAAACTTGAGGGAAAACCATTTCCACAACTGTCTGATTAAGCAAGTGTATTTAGACTGGCCAGACAGCTACTTCTCTGGCGTTTGAGTTTCCTTTTATGGGAAGGGTTAGTGTTGATAGAAAACAGCTGTCGAGATAATTGGCTATTGCCACCTGGTCAGAGAGTGGGGACTCCGGGCTCAAGGTAAGAGCAAGAACACACCCATCCAGGTATCCGGTTAGACATAGGCAAAAGGGCAGTCATATATCACAGGTTCGGGAGTTTAGCAAGGCGAAAGGGTGAGTATATACCACGGGGTCACAAGTTCAGGCACAGCTTGGAGCTACTGTCTGGAGCCATCATGTGGTGTTGAGAAATAAGCTGGGGTCCTCTGAAAGAGGCCAGAGCTCTTAACGGCTAAGCCATCCCATCTCTACAGCCTCAAATTTAAGTTCGTCACTTTCTTTATTTTCCTGTGGTTCATCATGTCTAAATATTATTGCCTAGCAAAGGCAATGCAGATTTTTACCTTGAGGCCACAAGCAGTGCGTTGTTGAATAGAACTGATGAGAGTGATACTGTTATCTCTAACCTGGCCTTTGGAGGAAGAATTTTCACCATTCACCTTATGTGTAAAGATTTAGAATGTTATTAGTTGTAGGTTTACTGGTTTAGATAAGACATTTTTATTGTCACTACACAACAATTTCTTCTGTGGTTACAGGTGTGTGCCACCATACCTGGCTCTTGTATGGGTTCTGGATATCTGAACTTGCACCCTAATGTTAGTGCAGTAAGAACTTACGATCGAGCCACCTCCACATAATTTAGGGTTACGAAGTCCATAGCCCCTAAATCTGAAATGCTAAGCACTGTCCATTATCTTTGTGCTTGCTAGTTTATTTTTTAATGCAGAAGAAATTGTATAGTGACAATAAAAATGTCTAAACAAGTAAGCCTGTTGTCTTCATTATTCTTTCCTTTTACTCTCTCCTATGCCAGAATGTATTTCCCAAATTAAATCGGATCCTTAACACATATGGTCTTATTTTTCCCTAGTTTTACATAAAGACCCCAGACAGGTGTACCTTTGTCTTCTTGAGATTGGTCGAATTGTGTCAAGGTACGTATTTCTCAATGTTTCAGAATTTCAACATCAAAAATACCTTAAAGCAACTTAGTTTTATCATAGTTTCTCTTCCCAAAGAATATGACTCTTGATTGAAATGAAGTAGCCCAATTTTCTGTTTTATCTTTCTGTCTTTATTTATATCCCCATGCGCATGTGTCAACATTGGCTTTCTTCTTTCGCCTTGCCTTCATTTCATAGGAAATTGTGAACGTGATACTTAAATCTTTCAAATTAAGAACAGGGTAAAAAATACGTAATTTCAAGCAGTTCAAAGCAAATCAGTACCACTTGGTAAGAAGGCTGAGGCTCTGTGTCCCCATGTTTGCTGGCCCTGTCCACCCACCAGCTTGTTTTAAAGCTGCCTTTCAGATTCTAAAAAAATATTGAAAATATTACATAACCCAGATATATGCTATGATATAGAGATTATAGTCTGGATTTGGGGCAATCTGAAATATTAAAAAAGACTTCCAGCTGGGTGGTGGTGGCATACTTGGAGGCAGAGGCAGGTGGATCTCTTGAGTTCAAGGCCAGCCTAATCTACAGAGTGAGTTCCAGGACAGCCAGGGCTACATACACAGAGAAACTCTGTCTTAAAAAAAAGGGGGAGGGGGGTGGAGGGACTTCCAGCTGTCCCAGTGAAAGACTCTGGGGAAGAGTCATATAGACTTGGCTCCAGAAGTAAAATGTTGCCTGTTTTGGTCTGCAGAGATGAAGTTGGTACACATGGTGTGATCACATTTCCTGGCTTGTTTTCAGATATGGAGTTGAGCCACCAGTACTGGTGAAACTTGAGAAAGAAATTGAGTTGGAAGAGACCCTGCTTAATGCCTCGGGGCTTGAAGAGTCCTTCAACATCCCCAAATCTTGCTGTCAGCATGAAGAACTACACGAAGCTGTAAGTAGACTATGCAGCCGGATGTTTCACAGTTTTGTGTATTTCTGAATTGCCGGGTTTATATTCAGAATGTGCACCAGTTACTAGTCTGCGCTCCCTGATGAACTCTGGGAGTGTGAGAGGATCTGATGTATACTTGATGAGTGGTGGTTCAAGGCTTCGAGAAGTCAAGAGGTTTTTGTTTTTAATATAGTAACATCATAATTTGATTTGTAAATGATAAGGGATTGCTTTTTTGGTCATATGTTGTGTTTGTTTTATGGTAATAACCCAAGCATGAAATGACGAGAGTTTTCATTTGAGCATAATAGTGAGCGATGGAGCAAAAGGAACAAGTATAAGCCATGCTTAGGGAGCAGAATCGACAGGACTGAATTAGTGATTGTGAATGAGAGAGAAGCCCATGGTGGTTGGCAAGGCTAAGCAGATGATACATAGGCACTAGGAAGATACAGATAGAAGAAAGCTTATAAGGGGAAAATAATTATTTTCATTATCATATTGATACATTTGATGATTATAACCATCAGAATAGGAAGCAGAAATAATATAGCAGATAAAAATTAAATTTTCATGAAATCTTAAGGAATAATTAATAAGGAAAGTGAAAGAAGTGTATTTTGTTAAATAAAAAAATTAGTATATAATTTACTATATGAAGACAGTACATTTGATAAGAAAAAGACTTTCAGTGATAAATGTGCAAGTACTGTGTTCATACAAGAAGTAAAGTTAACATTTGCCAATGAAGGGAATAAGAAAGATAGCCATAAAATACCATTTTGCTCCAGTAGCAAAACTTTTTTTTTATTTTTTTATTTTAATTTTAAATAGCTTGTTTTACATGTCAATCCCAGTTCCCTCTCCCTCCCCTCCTCCCGCACACCCCATCCCCCCCAGCCTCCCACCCTATTGCCAAATCCTTCCACATAGGGGATATCTAGAGTCTGTCATTTCACTCAGGGTAGGGTCCAGGCTGAGAGAGCATCCTCTTTGTGCTATGGGCACACGATGTCTGTTTGTATTCCAGGGATAGACACTGATCCACTGCTCAGGGCCCCGTAGGTTGCCCAGGCCTTCTCACTGACACTCACATTCGGGGGATCCAGATCAGTCCCATGCTGGCTGGTCTGAGGTTCAAGAGCTCTCCCCTGTTCAGAGTAGCTGTCTCTGCTGGTTTTGCCAGCCCATTCTTTGCCAATTAGTAGCAAAACTTTTAAAAGTTGGAAAATTGAGCTGGGCATGCCTAGGCTTCAAAGCTACACAGAGAAACCCTGTCTGGAAAAATAGAACAAACAAACAAAGTTGGAAAATTTAAAGCTGTAAAAAATGTTGTGAAACTATACATAGGAATGAATGAAAACTAATATATAATTTTGAAAGATAAATATTAAGAGTTACAAACATATTCCTTTGTTATAATTGAATTCAGCAAAAAAATCCAAAAATGTTTATTGTATTATTATTATTTATAATGGTGGAAAAATCTAAGTAATGCACAAACCTTCCAATAGGACGAAGGCTTTATAATGTATAATTCAGTATTGTGACAGAATGATTGTTTTATGTGGTCTTCATGTCAGTTAGGTAGCCCAGAGAAAATGCAGATTTTTGAAACATGTATATATGGACAAAAATATGGAAGTGAGGAGAATGAAAGTAAGGCAGTTTTGATGTAGACTATTTTCTTTAGCTATTTCCTCCAGTGTTATTAATTATGCAATAAATAGGTACAGAAAAATGTTATCTATATCTTGTGTAGACTGTGCTAGTAATGACTGCTAGCACTAACAACTTTATGTTGCTAAATATAAGCACTTCTTTGGATATTCTAATCCGGGAAAATAAGTGACTTTGAAAATAAGATCTGGATTCTTACTGTGAAAGCTAAAAGCAAACATACTTTAGACATGTACATGCTATGCATCCAGTGTTCACCTATACATAGACATGATGTTCACCTGCCTCTGCCTCCCAAGTGCTGGGATTAAAGGCATGCGCCACCACTGCCTGGCCACATGAATATATTTTGATGTGCTTTGTATGATAAATAATTGTGAAAAATAGTTATGACTTTTTTGTTGTTTTGTTTTGAGACGGGTCTTACTATAACTATACTACCATGGCTGGCCTGGAACTAAGTATGTAGACAAGGCTTGCTTCAAACTAATAGAGATCCCCAGCCCCTTTCTCTCCTGAGTACTGGGACTAAAGGTATGCACCAGCATGCCAGGCATGACCTCTTTTTTGTTTTTAAATATAATTTGAAGAGAAAGCCCAATATTTGTTTTAGTGGTTGATATGTAATGTTTTTCACCTAAAATGTATTTCAAAATACATCATCATTTAATAAAGTTGCTTTATGAATTTCTTTTCCTAGCCACTGTAATTTTACCATTTTCTTGAGACCTCTCTCGAGGTTCAGGGAATGTTTAGGAAGGGAAGGTCCAAAGACCATAAGATCCAGAAGTCATGGAGGAGTACTGTGAAATAGTTCTGATACACTCTTGAACTCATAGACCTGTACAACAAGATCAAGCCAGCCAACATTCCAGCATGGGTGGGTTGGGATCTCAAGGTTCCCCTACTGAGAAGCAGTTGACATTTGATCTGTATTGGGGAAGGGAGAGTCAGATTTCTTCAGGTATATGGGTGGCCCTTGTAGATTGTTCATGATCCAATGGATAGCCCTGCACCCACTTGTATATGGCCCCACTAATTCTACTCAGTGGATTATCAAAGAGAAGAAAAGAGAAGAAGGCATGAAGCTGGGAGGAGTTGAAATGGGGGAATCGGAGGTAATAGGTATGGTCAAAATACATTGTATACATGTTTGAAATTCTTAATAAATAAAACAGCATTTTGAGGGATAGAAGTAAGGGTTTTTTTTTTATCCCTTTCCTCATGAGGTGTTTGAAGTGGAGCAAATACTTCTGGAAGAATGCTTCCTGAATTGAAGTATTAAGAATTTTACCCCATCATTAGCATATAGACATTTGTCTCTACTTAATTTTAGCAGTAACTTGGAACAAATGTACATGGCCCTTCACATCAGTTTATCAGTTTGGCATTGTCTTAAGGGAAAATTGAGAATTCTTACTTAGCCTGTATCTGACTGGATGGTCTTTGACTTGACACAAATGTAAATTATTCAGGGCTTACAGCAATTCAGACTTAATGATGAGCTCATGTTTCCAAAGATCAGCAAATGTGTTTTGAGTTGACTCTGTTGTCAGACCTCCTTCAGGGTTTGTAACTTCAAGCACGGTTTCACTTGGTCTAAGAGACAGGGAGACCTGGCCCTCACCACTGCTGGCTGTTGCTAACTTAACTGTCTGATTTCAAAATCTGTTAGCTAGGAAAAAAGACAGATATTAAATACTTGAACCAGCTTTGAAGTTTTGTCTTTGAGGTCTATTTTGCTGTCCAATAACATTGCCTTTAACTTTTAATAGGCTATTTTTTCTAATAAGCATGGAGTATTGATAATTATTTTTAATTTTAGGTTAAGCACATTGCTGAGGATCCTCCTTGTAGTTGTTCTCATCGATTTTCTATTGAATATTTATCTGAAGGACGGTACCGGCTTGGGGAGAAAATACTCTTTATAAGGGTAAGTTTGCTGTTTGTAGCCTGTCTTGGAATTGGGCTTATTATTTACCAAGCTTCTTTTTACCCCCTTTTGCTTAAAAAAAATGTGTAGAGGGCACTATTAATTTCACTGGACAGGAAAAATATGGTATATTTAATTTCATGAATTTTAAGTGAGTTTGAGTAGATGCTTTTAACATTCAGGAACCGACTAGAAGACAGCTGAGACGATTTAAAACATTGGATATACCTAAATAAAAATATCTTCATGTACTCTGGGAAATTTACTGCATTTTCCAGATTTTCTTAAATGGAATAATTTTCCATCAACTCACTAGGAAGGAATGAGCAAAATAGAATGCCCAGTAAGATGAGAAATATTGCCACTCATAATGATAAATACTTGTATGTGTAAGCATAAGCTCTCTTCTTAGATCATATACCAGTGTGTTGATAATACCCATGTTAATATTAGAAATATTGCCACTCATAGTGATAAATACTTGTAGGTGTAAGCGTAAGCTCTCTTCTTAGGTCATGTACCAGTGTGTTGATGATACCCATGTCCATGGCCTTCCTTTGTCCCATCTGCAGTTGGCTTGTTTATCACTTTTGTTGATAAGGAAATTAAAATTTTACCTATTTATCGTTTTTCTACCTTGATGTATGCAAGAGCTGTTTTCTCTGAATTTAGGAACTGAATATTCTGAATATAAGAATACTTAAACATAGAATTTCACTGTCTACATTTCTTCTTTCACGTAGAATCACTATATTCCTGCCCTGTATTCGAGTCATGTAGAAACACCCACATCCATTTTCTGTCTCCTATTATCTGCCTTTAAGATTTTATTGCTAGTTTCGTTGTTGAGCAATTTAAGACATGTATATACTGTACTCTGATTATTGTCCTCCTTGCCTTACCTCTGTCCCCTACCCCCCACCCCCAACTCAGTCTCATCCGCAGTACCAATCCCTTTCTGGTATTTACGACTTGGGTTTAGTTTTGTGACTTAATTAGTTTAATTGGGACCATCTGCATAACTGTTGGATTGGAAATATTCACTGGAGCATCGTAGGGTCATCAATGGGTAACAATTGAAGGCAATTTCCCCTCTCTGTGGATCTGATTGACAGCAAATAGAAGCAGAAATAGAAGCAGAAATAAGGTTGACTTAGTACCCAGACTACCCGAAGAGAGATTTGAGAATAAGTGACTGTAGAGTCTTCCTTTCTTCTTTCTTAGCAAATAGTCAGTGGTGAGGGGTGGGGTTCCCCAAGCCCCTCCTCCATCCATGCCCGGTGGTGTACACTCTGCAGCTTAGCCATCTAAGGTGGCTGGGAGCTCACTGCCCGGAAGATGAGCCTTCTCAGCCCTTCTTCCTGTCATTGGCTCATACATTCTTTCCACCCGTCTTCCAAACTGTTTCCTGACCCTTAGAGGACTGAGCACTTGTCATCACGCATATTCAGCACTCTGTGCAGCCATGAATCTGCATTCACCATGTTCCTGGAAAGAGGAAATTCTTTGATTAGGGCCGAGAATAAGGAGACTGAGACTTAGAGCTAACGTTGAAAGCTGAGCTCACAGAGGTGTGAAGATCGACCAGCTTTTCAGGACAGCGGCCTGAAAGTCAGCTTGGGCTGCATTGACCAAGCCAAGATTTGTTTTGTCCCCACACAAGTGCCCCTGTAAGGACAGCCTGGTGTGATGGAGGCTAGCCACAAATGTCTCAGAGATATTCTTACCTGCAAGGATAAACTAATAGTAATTTATATGGGTGTTTTAAAGATGAAATTGACAGAGTATAACTTTTAGTTTTAAATTACTAGTTTTAGTTATTTTTTTCTAATTATTTTTTGTCTCTCATGAGGCTATTTCCTTCCTCCATTTTTTCCTTTCCTTCCTTCAGTACTCAATCCATTGAACAATATCACTATTGCAGTTTTCTGTATTAACTGTGAATTTTAGGAAGCAAATTATTTGTAAATATTTTTATTATAAAGTGGAGGGTATTTATTAGTAGTTGTATACCCTAATACTGTTTATTACTTTAATACAAAATGGGGACTTTTGATTTGAAACAAAGCTATTGGCGAATACTCTGAATTTCGCAGGTTATAGAAAATAGAAATCATGATTGTTAACAGATTGAAACTACAAACCTCACAGTTTCACTGCTTTATTTTTGTTTTGGGGGCAGATGCTTCATGGGAAACACGTTATGGTCCGTGTTGGCGGAGGCTGGGATACTCTGCAAGGATTTTTGCTGAAATATGATCCCTGCCGAGTACTGCAGTTCGCTACACTGGAACAAAAGATCTTAGCATTTCAAAAAGGAGTTTCAAATGAAAGTGTGCCAGATTCACCTGCCGGAACTCCTCAGCCTCCAGAAATGAACCCTTTGTCTGCAGTTGACATGTTTCAGAAACAAAATTTAAAACCTGACACACCAGTAAGTGTTCCAAAGAGCAAAGAAAAACAGGGGCGCCCACCAGGTGTGTTGCCTCCCACCCCATCAGTAAAAGGCCATCTGTCTTCCCTGTCCACCCGGTCTAAACTTCCGGACTCTCCAGCTTCATTCTCCCATCCCAGGGTCACAACTTTGAAGGGCAGAGCGAAAAAAGCGCATGCCCCTCCCAGCAGTGTGTCTTCCTCGGCGTCTTTAACTCCAGTGGGCAGCAGCACTGCCCCGGCTTCATCCAGTGCTGCGCAGTGTGCTTCTGAGTCAGTGAGAAAACGTGTCGCTTTCTCCAAGCCTGCTAAGACCATGGCTGTGCCAGCCCACAATTCCAGAGATCCGTCTAAGTCTAGACTTTCACCAAGTAAGCCTTCTGGAAAAATTGAACCAAAGCATTTGAAACACAATCATCTTTCTTCCAGGGACGAGTCAAAGTGTCCAAAGCTACCTAAGGGAAACATTCACGGGAGGCCTAACCCTTCTCCTTTCCAGTCCCCTGCAAAAGTGACCAAACCCACTTCCAAAACCAGAGCCATAGGTCTAGGAACACAGTCTCAGCCACCCGATAGAACTCTGAAATCAAGGGCAGTCCCAGCACAAAGACTTCCCACACCTGTGTGTTCGGTGTCCTCTGCGAAAGCTACCAAGGAACCAAAAGGCGAGAATATAGTTTCAGTTGTCAAAAAGCAACCACAGAGTAAGGGTGCCAGCCAGAAGACAGGACCCGGCTCTCCTAAGTCTCCTGGCCGCACCCCACTGTCCATTGTGAGCGTCCCCCAATCTGCTGCCAAGACAGAAACTGGTTCAAAGTTAGCGCAGACTGCCATGAAGGGCCAGTATTCAGCTAAAGGGCCTCCTAAAAGTGGCATGCCACCAGCTGCCACCAGGAAACCACCCTTATCTGGTAAGGGAACAGTCAGTGGAGATAAAAAACCAACTGCCAAGACAAAGGAAGAAGATGACCATTATTTTGTTATGACTGGAAGTAAGAAGCTTAAGAAATAAGCACACTTGTGTCATTTTAACAAACCATTGTGGCCGAGCAGAAGGGGAATCCGCCCCACCGGGATCACAAACGGTCTTCCTATGTGTGTTTGTCGGGATAGCTGCAGCCATGAGGTCAGGATGGGGATGAAGGCAGGGGACAGGGCTGCGTCGGGGAGAGGACTTACGTGTGTTTTGTATACTAATAGGCAAATGCATGAGTTTTGATCTGTACTATCTTGTTAATGTCTGCTGTTTGAGGGGAATGCAGAAGTCTAACAACACTATTTGAACTGTAGCAATACTCAGTGTATCTTTGAATAGGTATTAACTATGGAGATTGTTTGCTAATAGCAACTTGGATGCTCTTAACACTAGTTACTCTGTCCAGTCAGGAAACAACGGTTTGCTTGGCATTAGTGTGTGCCTGTAATCTTAGCTCTGAAGGCCGAGGCAGGACGCCTGCCTGGAATACATAATAAACCCCAGCAACGGTTTGACATAAAAGGCACCTAAGTTAAGTTTCTGATCAGGAATCTTGGTCTAGCAGTCATAAGGGCCAATGGTTGCTGCTGCTTGGTTTGACATTCTGGATCAGATGGAATTCTTATTATTTAATTCTTTTTAATATTTCCATATCAGAAGGAACTTTTTTATTAAAATTGGGATTTTATTAATATTAGTAGCATTTTATAGTCAAAAATTTTGGTAAAAAAGAAAACTAAATAAATTAACTATTGGAACATAACCTGAGATTTAGTAAAAGGTTAAGATTTTTTTAATATAACAACCCACACTCTTTGTGTCTTACATTTTAAATGAAATCTGAAGTATGACAGGGAGATTTAATAGCTTTTAGCATATTAAAATATTTTAAATGAATAGATATTTCTTATGTGTATAGACAAGTATTTTTACACTAAGATGTGTTTTGATACCTGAATTAAGTTTTAACAATAGGGATTGGGGAAGTAGCTCAGTGGATAAAGCACTTCTCGTGCAGGATTGCAGATTGGAGTTTAGATCCCTAGCACCTCCATAGAAACAGGTAGGCATGATGGTCTGCCTGTAGTCTCAGCATTCAGGAGGAAGGGACAGGGTCTCCGGGGACACGCTGGCTGTCTAGACTAGCCAAACTGACATGTTCCTGCTTGTTTAAGAGACACTGCCTCATTAAATAGAGTAGTAAATGATGAAGGAAGACACCCGATGTCAACTTCTGTCTCTCCATGTATATACACATACATATGTACTTACACACATGTACACGCACACACATGAATGAATGAACATTTGCACACTAGACACATGCCATCATATACATGCATGCATGCACACCACATGCATTTGCACATGCATAAGATTAAGATGGTATTAAAAGGGCCTTAGAGTGATACTATGCGTACATTCTATCAGGCAACTTATATTTCTTTTGGTAGCACACTATCAGTTTTAATTAGAGTCTCCAAATTATGTTAATCTTCATCAATAAAGCCATATTGTATTCATTTTTCAGTGGCCAGCAGACAGTTGTGTGTGTGTGTGTGTGTGTGTGTGTGATGCCATCTGTTCTGTAGGCAGATTCTCTTCAGGAACATCCAGATGATGACAGCATAAACTCCTTCCACCCACAGGGATACTTGTAAATAATTTATGTATGGGTCTGTCACTATTTAAAGTTTATAAATGTACTTTTGGAAGTTTTAAGTTACTTTATGGCATTACCAATTGCCATAAGTTTTAGAGGAAAACAGATACAGTGGTGCATGCTTGTAATTTCAGTGCTTGGGAGATAGAGGCAGGAGGATCAGAAAGTTCAAGGTCATCTCAACTGTGTGGTGGAGACATGTCTCCAGGGGGAAAGAATGGCATTTGACTTCTCCAATGTCCTCCATTTTCTACCTCCTTCCCTCCTCTTTCTCTGTATTTGCTTTGTGATGCTGAGGATCCCTTCTGGGACATCTCACATGCTAGATGAGCATGACCCCCACGCTTCATCTCCAGCCCCTTCAAATACGGTTCCTAAAGCAAAGCCAAATGGTTTGCCAGGAGGTTCAATCACCAGTGACTAAGCACCTTAGCCGGCTGCTGCCATCTTATAGAGGCACAGCAAGAGAACCTCAACCTCGTATAAAAGTCAGTGGTCTTTACCCAGGGGCTATGCTTGAAAATCAAACATCTCCTCAGGATAGATTACAACAGGAAGGACTCTGTTTGCCTCTCCTGTTTTGTGCGTTGACAATGGAAATATTTACATTTTTAAAAACCTCCAGTGTGTAAGAGTGTAGGGCATTTCTAGTAATCAGGAATATTTTTATAGAGCTTATTCCCTCATCTAGAGGATCATAAACCATTTGTATATCAGTAACTTTTGAGAATTAAAAGAAAATTGTAAATGGTATAGGCAGACCTAGCTTGTGACTCAGAAGATTTTACAATTTTATAAACATTATCTTTGTGTTGGGTAATCAAGAGTAAAGATATTCTCCAGGAACCTGGAACAAATTCTAGAATTAACTTTAGATTTTTTTATTTGGAAAATAAACTATATTAGTCCATCCTTCAGTAGAAGGGAATTTCTCCAGCTGTAGTTATATAGGGTGAATTTCTTTTTCTGTGTAGCATGTCTTTCCCAAACATATGTCTTATGTGAATAAGAAATTAAATCCCATGGGGCTTGAGGGATGGCTCAGCAATTAAGAACCCTTGCTGTTTTTGCAGAGCATCTGAGTTTGATTTCTAGCACCCACACAGTGATTCACAACCATCCAGAACTCCCATAGTATGGTATCTAGTGCCCTCTTCTGGCATCCACAGGTACTAGGCATGTATAGCTACATATACGTACATGCAGATAAAATATTCATATATGCAATAAATAAACAACTAAATCTAAAAAAAACTTTCCATTCCTCACAATTAAAAAAAACAAATTCCTTTAAATATATTTTTAAATTTTCTAAAAAGCTGATGAATCTCTGCCACAATTAAAAAATTATATTTCAGCTATATTCATTTCTTCTCAATTATAGTGTCACATTACATAAGGTCTTTTTATCTTTAATATTTAATAAAATAAATATTAAGCATAAAATGCTGAAGCACCTGGAAGATATAATTTGTAGTTTCTTTAAAAATAGAAGGTTTTATTTTTCTTTGCAATGATTTATGAATGTGTTAATTATATAAAACTTAAGAGGAAAGTGAAATGATTAGTTTTACATTGTCCCTCAAGTAATCAAGTGACGTGTTTGAATAGTGTCCCTTCAGAATGCTTGGAGTAATTAGTGACCTTGAAGTGTCGTCCAAATTTTTTTTTATTGTTTTGTTTTTCTGAGACAAGATCTCCTTATAGCTGTGGCTTGCTTGGCACTCTCTTTGTAGCCCAGGCTGGCCTTGGGCTCATAGCAATCCTTCTGCCTCAGCCTCCTGAGTGCTGGGTTTGCAGATTTGAACCATCAAGTTCTGCCTGATTCTGTAGTTCTTAATGGGTGAAGGAATAGTTTGAAGAAATTAATTTCTTCTGCAATCATTTCATATCTGTCTAACTTAAAATCTGTTACTTCCTTAAAAGGAGCTAATAAAGCTTATGATGTACTTTTTTTTTCCTTTTCAAAATTTCTAATTATGATGTATTCTTATATCCAACTCTATATGAGTTTGGATTTGTGTACATTCTGTTTTTGTGTGTGCTTGTTTGTGTGCCAGCAGTATTTGTATCCAATTTAACTTATTGTTTCTCAAGTATTCAAATATATACATAAACCATAGTCTCCGTTTCCTTTTTTGATATTGTTGTTGTATTCTGAATGCATTGTGTTTATTTGGTCCATGTTGGAAATTGCATATATAAAGCTCATAAGCTGAAAAGAGTTTGCAATCTTAGGTTATTTTAAATGTTGTTACTGTATTGCTCCTAGATGTTTGCTTCAGAAAGACTGGGCTTGTGGTTAATAATCTCTGAGATAATAGAAACCATCAATTATTAAAGTCAAATTCTACAGGTCACACAAAAATTGTCTCTACAGAAAGTCAGGGATTCCTAGTCCCACAGTCCAGTTCCAGTTTCACACTTTTATGAAATGTGAATGTATTTGAGATCCTTGACTTCTTATGTCTTTTTTTTTAGTGACCAGATCAATTATAAAAAGCAGTTAATCCAGCATGTATTTCTGTGCTATTTCCAAGAGTGAAATCCAAAATCACAGATGAAGTTTTATGTTTTCCTAGCTTTTTATAAATGTAAAAAATTTAAACATAAAATTCACTTTATGACATCTTAGAAAATATTGGGAACACTTAAAGTCTTCTTTTAGTAAGTCTGAAAATGCAAATTTTATTAAATAGTTTCACAGTATCTATACTGTTTATGTAAAAACACACTCTTGATATAACAAAGTATATTTCTATCTTTCTACATTTAGATGGGAACAGTTCAAGTACTGGTTACTGGTTAAGGTTAGCTCAATACATACACCTATTAAAAATTAACCTCCACGGCTATGGCTTGTCTTATAGTGCATGTATTGGAAATGATCATTTTTATGTCACTTTAAATTATTTCACATATTACAAAATATGAACAAGTTTGCCATATAGTAGGCATTTAGTATTTTTTAAGAAAAATAATATAGTATTTTTATTAATGAAGAATTTTATACACTGTATCATGGTCTTTTTCACCCTGGTGTCTGCCCCCCATTTCTTCCAGAACCATTACCCCCCATGCTCACACACACACAGTCCATGTCCTGTCTTCCTCTTTAAAGGAGACTATCTTGCAGTAAATGTCCTGGTCCTTCTGCCCGCTCTCCTGTGGTGTTCCCTGAGCCTTAGATGGAGGGTTTGTGCTGTAAATGTATTAGTTGGGAGCAGGCATTCCATGCTCCATTGGTCCTTGCATCTGACCATTTGTGACTTTCTGTAGTGATCGCTAACAGCACAAAGGAGCTTCTTTGGAAGTAGATGTTGGTGAACAATCTCCTTAAAAGGATTAAGACAGGGTTTCTCTGTGTAGCTCTGGCTAGGTAGACCAGGGTCGCTTTGAATTCAGAGAGATCCACCTGCCTCTGTCTCCTGAGTGCTGGGATTAAAGGCGAGCTAAAAAGAATTTTTAAAAAAATAACTAATGATTCTTTTGAGACATCAGGTTTCACATTTTTTTTTTTTACAAAACGGATAGGTCACAGCCTTGAATGTGTGATAGAGCTGTGTATCACATAGAAGCCTCCAGTAATGGACTGCATGGATGTAATACACATTGTTGATGAATTGTTGACATTTATTAGAAGAGGAATGAAATTGACATTTAGCATTTTACTTTAATCCCAAATTTTGAAATAAAATCTAAGCTACAATTTGTAATGATTTCCATTTACCTTAAGCATCAGCAAAACCAATTTTTGAAGTTCAGGAAGCCCCAGGAGTCCTCGAAGGCTTTTTCCTCTTTCTTTTCCTTCTTCTTTTTTAAATCATCCCTGCTGAGAGTGATGCCCTTTGAAATTCCCAGCCTCTGAGTCTCTCAGGGCAGGTTAAGAAAGGGGGTGGTTTGGACTGATGAGCAGGTATCCCAGCAGGAGGCAGGGGCCAGAACTGTTCAGTGATTTCCTCCATCACGCCTGACCTGGTGGGTCAGCGCCACCCCACATGTGTCAGTCTGAATAGCATTCAAACGCTTCCAGATCCTTCAGGCGTGGGTGGCTACTTACAGAGCTGTTCCTTAGTTTCTACTGTGTTGAACGTAGCTGTGGAATTTTCCGTTGTCTAAACTCATCAAATCTGCACCAGGACTACCGTGTCTCCTGCATTTAACATGGCACCTAGATGTTTGTGGGAGAGAGGGCAGGATATCACTGATGGAACCTCAGGCTTCATTTTGTTGACCCACAACAGTACAGGAGTTTTCCAGAGAAAATACTAAGGTAGAATTGGAAAACATAACCTCATTTTTTGGAGAAGAAAAGGATGAAGTGATAAGAGATACTGAAGAGACAGATTTCTTTAGTTGCATGGATTTTTAATAGAGATTGTAGTATGTTTAATAGAGTATGTAGTATGTTTAATAGAGATTGTAGAGGTAGGAAATACCCACATTTGCCATCCAGGCTTATTTGAAAATATTTCAATTCACAAGAACACGTGCTATCTACTTAGTGCCGTGTTACCGCTCCTTTCCATCCTCACGCTGAATGAAAATATTCGGAAACCCAGGCCAAGCAACTGTTGGTAAGGTTAGTTTTAATTCTCCAAGACAATGTTGGAGCAAGAAAACAAAAGTCAAGGGGAGAGACAGTCATCTCAAGTGTCATGTGACTGTCCAAGCACTGGGCCCTTCAACAGAGCCACTTGATACATGGAGTCCAACGCATTTCTTGTGTTACCTGTGCTTATGGTTGGTTCTAACGCTATCTACTTGGCCATATTGCAGTGAACACCAATCCATCCAGTTGTTCATTCAGCAACATTTTTTTTTCTAAATGCTTGCTTGGTATAGCATTCACTCTAAGACTAAGCCTGGTGCTAGGGATTTGGTGATAAGACAGTCCACAATTCTTAAGGAGGTCACATATTTATTACAGCGGCTTAGGTTAAAAACACACACAAAAAGGAAAATGTTCTTTTAAACCGTTGTCCACTCAGTTCTTTGTGGTCACTTGTGGCATTAAATACCTTCCTGAGAACACTTTGTATTTCCGTATATTGATTTGGATCAGGAGCTCATCAAAAGATGGAAAACAAAACAAAATAAAACAACCAAACAAACTCAAACAACTAGTATTCTAGTTCTAGTATTTGTGTTTAAGCCTGAAAGACAAGACAAATTTGGTGTTAAGAATTGCTACTCAGAAAGCAGAACAGAATCAAGTCCTAGCCAGGCAGTGGTGGCTCACGCCTTTACTTCCAGCACTCAGGAGACAGAAGCAGTTGGATCTCTGTGAGTTCAAGGCCAGCCTGGTCTACAAAGCTACACAGAGAAACCCTGTCTCAAAAAAACAAAACAAACACACAAAAAACAAAAAATAAAAACAAAAATAAAGAGAATCAAGTCCTAAATAAGGCTGAGTCAGAAACAAACCTGAGCTTTCTTTGGGTAAGTCATTGGTTTAAAAATTAAGAAACACTTCTTGGATATAAGGGTGCTTCTCTAACTATATTTCCTGTAACAATAAGGATTAGTCTCCCCTACCCGCACTCACCCCTACTTAACTGCATCTCAACACTACCAAGTACACTATAGAGCTGGGTTTGGGACTGTACACCTGTAATCCCAGCACCTGGGAGGCAGGGGCAGGAGGGTCAGAAATTCAAGACCAGCCTCAGCTATATAGTTCAAACTTACTCAGGGCTACACAAGCCACTATCTTAAAAAAGTGTTTTGGTTTTGTTTTAAGACAAAAATAGTTCCAGGAAAGCCAGAGCTGTTACATAGAGAAACTTAGTCTCAAAAACAAAAGAAACCAAAAACACACACACACCCCAACAAACAAACAAAAAAATGAGAAACAAAACAAGGTTAACAAGACAATTTACCTAATGACAAGAGTACAGTTTACCAAGTGCACCATGAAAACAGTCCCGAGATCTCCATCAGCTCCCTGAACTGCTTCTTTCCAGCCACTTTGGTGAGAGGAATGGTGTTCCCTGTGACATCTCCTGCTGCTTTTAGCGAATGGCAGAGGAAACAAGTCCTGTAAAACTAATAGCTATGAGCCATAGAAAACTTCTGCACCAACTTCCCAGGGACCCTGTAGTCCAAGGGACCCATGGACATCCTGTAAAGTCCTGGCATCTTTAGGTCACCTCTTTGGGTTTCAAGAAACACATTCACTCCATCTTTTCTAAAAGATGCAAAATCAAAAGGACAGCAGGAACCTGGCATCAACAATTGTCTGAGCAGTGAGCCTGTCACAGGAGCTTGGACTTGGGAGGCACCCTGCTCATCATCCGCCGGCTGCTGACTTCCCACCTCCTCTTGGTGTTCTGTTGTGACCACTCTCTCTTCAAGCTTCTGCTTTTGACTTTCGCATTTTCTCCACCCAACAAAAAGCAAAATCTACCCCCTATTGTTTTTAAGTTCAGTGTCAAGAGATAATCTGTTTGTTTTAATCACTGTTGGCCTTTTGGGGCGGAACTTCTAGCCATGGACCACTGCTGCCTGGGTCACCAGTTAACCAATGAGTTGGCAGCTTCCAAGCCTCGACAAAACAGTATGTGAGCAGATAAGTCACATGTTCTAGACCCTGGCTGCATCAGAACAAAGAATAGTTTGTCTCTCTTGTTTCTCAGCAGAAGCTGGTGCCAGCCAGTTCTTAGAAGACCATTTTGTCTAATCCTTTTGGGATGGGGGGCAGGAAGCCTAGTATTTGCTTGAATTTTGTTTGTGTTACCTAAAGAGATTCTTTTTGTTAAGGATCTGTTAATTTCCAACATTGAACTTTTATGTTATTGTGACCAGTATGGTCCAAATGCATCTCTTATCTCTTCCTAATCCAAAGCAGTATTTTTGACACCCAGTGATGCTCAGGTATACAGATGTTGCAGAGAAAGAGAATCATGTCCAAACCAACAAGGCTGTTTTATCCCCAGTTAAAGGAATAACTTTATCCTGAATAAGCCCACACTGGGATCTTTTAAAGCCCTTTTCTGAGTGGGAAAGAAAATGTTCTATGCTCTTGCTTTATAGTTTTGTTTTGACATGTCCTCCACTCCAAGATCCATTTTTCTTTGTTTGTTTTTTGAGACAGGGTTTCTCTGTATTGCTTTGGAGGCT